GAGCATTTGAACCTTGCATTGTTCTTTTGTCAAGAATCTCTTGGATTTACCAGTCTGGTCAGCATATAAATCCACGCTCAGGCCCCAGGAAACCATCCAAAATGCACTACTAGTGCAATCTGTGAAATGTCTTGAGTTATCAGTTTAAGTTTGGCTTCAGGAAATCTACACATTTCCCATGAAGAGATTTACACCTCAGGAATAATTTCCATGTGTGAATAATGTGATCGAATAATGCTGAAAAATGCTGAAATGTTTTCCTTATACTGCTACATACCAAAATATTTCTCCAAACCCGGAGAAAAACTCTTTCTGTTTTGAAGAGTGTGTCAAAACATAGGGCTCCACCTCGGGGGAAAGACTTTACCATACGTCTGTACACACAGAACCCATGGCCAGGTCACTGCTCCAGAAGACCAAGCAATCAATCAAATTACCTGCTAAAATAAAGAATAATAAATAATTTGAAAATATGTTTTTGTTCACTGCTCACTCAGCTTCTGTGCCAGCAGATCTGTATTCGTTCCATAGAAAGTGTTTTCTCTCAAACTTTGAAAGCTCTTATGCAGTCACTCGGAGGAACGGTTCAGGCTGAGCTGAAAACACAAAGATCACAGGTTTGATCTGAGGTAGGGGTGACCGAGAAAGTGGGGAATTACCAGAGTCACAGGCCCTCTGTTATCATTGTGCCCTTTAGCAAAACACTTCTCTGGGTCTCAAGCAGCCTACTGTTGCATTTTTTACGTTGTTTTTCAGGAGACCCATTTATGATGATGTATGAAACATTTAGGAACCTAATAAACTTTTTAGCTGACAAAAAATTTAAAAATAAAGTGTTATGTTCAAATGTTTCCAACATGTCATCCAAACACCTCATATGTTATAGATCCTATAGCCAGTTATTTATTTATTTATTTAGCATATACAATGTTAATAAAATAAATGTTAATAAAAAAAAACGGTGACAAAAAAAAAATTCTTTTCCTTTTCAGTCTGCTTCAGCTTTCTAACAGCATTTGTCAATGTTAAAGTGATTGGCCAATCAAATCAAACAAGGCGTAGCCTAAAGCGTCAAAACTTAAACGGAAGCGTCACGCCGGGTGTTTGTTCGGCTTCTTGTGAACGATAGGTAGATGTAAGTAGCTAAACATTTCATATTTTACAAATGTTTACGATAAAAATGTCAAACGACTGACAGTATTATGATCTGATACAAACCACTCGACTCTTTGTCAAATTTCGAATTGAAAATGTACATTTTTACACGTCTAAGTAATTTCTAATTGAATGCGACAAGACAAGAAACATTAACGGAAGCGTTTTCGACGTGAATGTGTGCATGTTTTAATATTATTTGCAAATAGTACGAATTAAATTCCATTTATTACATTAAATCTTTTTCGTATTATTATTTAATTCATTTAAATAAAAATGACCCCCTATCATAGTAACGGTCTGGTTCATTTTGAATCGCACATGACCGAAAATCAAGGTTCAGTGAGTTTTGTACCGCACTGAGTGATTCTGATTCAAACTGCCAACAGACCGTACGTGGGTTCGAGGCTATTTCATGAATATTTTAAACTGACCCATAAAAAGAACCGGTTCATAAGAGTCATAGGATGAAGAATCGGACCTCATGGCTGTCTCATGGTGTTTTAATTACATTTCTGATTGTTAACCAATATCAAGCGTATGTTCTGTAATGCATATTATATATAGTTATGTTTATGTTTTAATGAACGTTCTTATATAATCAGATCACATACAATTGTTTTGAACGTTTTAGACATTCTGGTGCCATCAGCTTGGCAGTGCTTTCAGTTGCTCAACAACTCACGAGGCTGGAAACTCTCTTTACTGTGAAAAATAACGTGCATTCGTTTCTCCCTTCCTTCCCTCTATAACAGAAAACAAACACGCATGATAATAAACGAGAGAGGAGTTCTGTGTTTAAGTTGGACGGGATGTCTAGCACAAATGGTGGGAAAGGATGCTGGCTGCAGGTTTGTACTCGGAGCAGAGCTGAGGTGAGCAAAGCAGCACAACCGGAGAAATGCTTTACCTAAAGCCAAACCACGAGATAAGATACAAGGGCTTTGCCATGAATTTCTATATACCTTTGGGTGTTTGTTGAGTGATATTTTGTCTTCAGGAGGAGGAAAAACAGGACGAAATAGAAAAAAATAAGGAGGTGAAACAACTTAATGTGATTGTAATCAAAGCATCACTTTGTTTAGCAGCTTGGCATTCTGTTGCTGATGTGGCACCGCTTCGAAATGCATCATTAAAGCCATTAACTTTCATAATTTCCCCAATTTTCTTTATTTCAAATATAAACAGTCCCCGGCTTCTACAGCCAAGCGCTCCGAGACCTCCCGTTTCACAGGGAGCTATCAGATGAATGCTGGGATATCTTAGGGGCTTTCTGGCTGATCGGAACATACTCTAAATGATCCTGAAAAAGTCCTAATGGCAAACACAGGTGGGAAAAGCATTACGAGCCCATCAGAGCTGCTACCATTCTCACAAAGACAGATAATGCTAAGAAAAAACATTCAAGGCAATCATGATGAAGTGGGAGTGAGACGCAGTGTGAGAGGAGTGTGTACTTTCTTTGTGAAAGCAAGTAGTTGAATTGTACTGTAACAATTCCTAGAACGGTTAATTAGATGGTAAGTGAACTATGAAAGCAAAGCGGGCTATTGCTCTAATTCCAAAATCGTTCTGCTAATGAGCCTTGCAAAAACAACCATCAGACTATTTTTCAATTACGTGAACCTGGCTGAGCTGTAGTTAAAATCTGAACAATGTCATTTGTACAGCGTGATATTTATTTATTAGACCAGGAAAGCTCCCCCAAGCATTTCCTTTTTCAAAGAAAAAAAAAACACAAAATCAAAAGGTATTGCAAGATTAGTGATAAACACCCAGAATTTAGAATGTTTAACAGTTTATAATTAGCAGTACCACACATATAGTTAGATAAATCAGAAATACTGTCAAAATGCATAAGTATTCAAATATTTACTTTGAAACTGCCTTTCTCACACAGAACAACCTCCTCGACACCAACCAGTCTGGTTTCAGAAGTGGACATTCAACCGAGACTGCCTTGCTCTCAGTTGTTGAAGCCCTAAGACTGGCAAGAGCGGATTCCAAATCTTCAATACTTATCTTGCTGGATCTGTCCGCTGCTTTTGACACGGTTAACCACCAGATCCTCCTGTCAACCCTATTGGCAAA